TGATGGTAGCTCAGTGATTGTAGAAACAAGGACACAAAGATCTTGAGTTACACCAGTTCTGTCATTTCTGTGTAATCACTCAGAGGTTTTATGTTTCAAATTTAGAAGAAGGAAACTCTGAACTTCAAGATATAATATTTTAGTTTGGCAAGTGCAAATTTTAGTTCATACATGAAATGTTTTACTGAAGTTGAATATATTTAAAATTGAACGTTGCTTTTCTAATAAAATTGTTAATTATTTGTTTTTAAAATGAAGGAACAATTTGAGAAAAAAATGATTATTACTAATCCTTATGTGATGATTACTGAAAATAATTTTATCACAGAGAGGAAGAGATATTAAAAAATGATCTACTCCAGGCATCAAATAAACTAGGTATGTCACTGCAATGCATTACACAGTAAGTTTTTAAAACATTGATATTGACATCAATGGTGGCCTTTCTCTTCTAACATGGCACTTCTCTGAGATGAAAGATAGGAGTTCACAGTGAAAGAACTAGGTGTCTGCAGTCTTTTGAAAATTTGATTCTGCAGTTTTAAAAAATAATAGTAACTACTATCACTGAGCCCTTCCTATATGTCAGGTATGGAGCTGACATGTTACAAACATTGTTTAGTACTTTATCCAGCACTGTGAGGTGGATATTATTATACCTATTTAAGTGACGAAGAAACTGAGGTTGGGAGAAGTGTACTCCAGGTCACAGACCTTGTGAGTGACAGAGCTGGGCTGACACTGTGGATTACCTGATTCAAAGCTTGTTTTCTTAACCACCATGCCATCGGGAGAAGGAGAAGCTGATGCTGATTTCAGTTCCTGAGTAGATTGCAGGACTGGCTTGAGGCCTGCGAGATTCTAGACTTTATTTTTCTAACAACCATGCAATTAGATAAGACACTGACACTCGCAAATCAAATCAGGCAGATCTGAAATCCTGCAAACATCAAGGATTTACAGGAGATGAAGCTGAAGCCCAGAAGGAATTATTGCACCAATGCTCACACAGCTACTACTGGATCAAGAAATCAGGTGGGGTTTTTTTTGTTTGTTTTTTGTTTTTCTTTTCTTTTTCTCTCTTTTTTTTTTTTTTTTTTTTGGCAGAGGGTGGGGGTGGATGCTCAGTGTCTTGCTCTGTCACATGGGCTGGAGTGCAGTAGCAGGATCATAGCTCACTGCAGTCTTGAACTCCTGAGCTCAAGAGATCCTCCTACTTGAGCCTCCTGCAGGAATGCACCACCATGCATGCCTGGCTAATTTATGTGTGTGTGTGTGTGTGTGTGCGTGTGTGTTTGTAGAAATGGGGGATCTCACTATGTTGCAAAGCTGGTCTTGAACTCCTGGCCTCAAGTGATCCTCCCACCTTACTGGGATCACAGAAGAGAGCCATCATGCCTGGCCAGTAAATCAAGTTTCTATCTGCCTATACCATGCGGTCTCTGGGCCTAAATTATACACAATCAGCTGTTTTACTATTCCAACTATCCCACATTCTTATTTCCATAGGTTTTGGCTTGGAAGGAGGGAGGTTTTGGTTGTATGAATTTAGCCTTGAGGCAGCAGGCTGATGGTGTCACTGACAGAAAGGAGAACTGCGTGGGCGGAAGTTGCTCTAAGTACTCTGTCTGGGATGATTTTGGAAACTGGTTTTCCTCCTTGGGCTACAAATACTCAACTTCTCAGATGCTGCTGAATATTGACTATGTGATAACGTGCTTACACTCTTGATAAAGTCTCATCTTTCAGTGCTCCCCAGGAGGAGATTGTGTAGAACCATGCTCCTTCTCCTCTTGACTCATTCTGTCAAAAAACGCCTCTGGAATTTTATTATAGCCTAGTTCATCTTCCTGGCTTTAAAAGATTTCTATTATTTTCCCACAAGTCTGTCTCCTGATCTAAAGAATGTGAACCCCTAGCTTAATCATTTTAAAATTGTAATTTATATGACTATGGCTAAATTCAGGTTCCTGGGCTTTCCCCTAGATGTTCAGATTCAATAGGTCTGGGTGGAAGTCTTGAATCTGCATTTTCCATGAAGGTGTGTCGCAAGTCCCTCACTTTATAGGCCCCACTTTGAGATGCTCATAAGCAATGGCATGTTCTTAAGTTCTTTCCAGTCCCTTGCGAATGATAAGCTCTTCGTAGGCGTCTGCTGACTGAAAATTAAGGCCACTTCTATCCTCTACTGCAAATACACACTATTTGGAAAATTTCATTACTACTTCAGGCAAGGCTTATTTTAATTATCAGTGGTGTTGATTGTAACGTCATCTTTCTCAGACCTGTTAGTATTTTTTATTTAGTGTTGTTTTGTTTGAGGATCCAAAAGTTGTGTATGAAAGGGGAAGCTGCTGAATCAGCAATCTGACTTAGAAAAGCATCAGCAACATCTCGTAAACATTTCATGTTAACTGTTAAGAAACAGGTTGAAAGGTAGTCCAAGAAATAATAATCAATGTGTAAGTAGTGCTAACAAGAAAAAGATTAAACTTAAAATAAAACTTTGGGTTTTCCTTTCCTGATAATATAGAAGGCATTTAATATTTACAGTCAAAAGAATTGATTAGAAGGATTCATGTAAACCAAATTCAAAGAAAACCCAACAGTCATTTTTGCAATGAGATCTCCCAAGTATAATGTAGGTGGCAGAAATCGGAATATGATAGAGTCTAGGAAATCTAGGATAGTCTCTTAAAATATAAAATAAAATCCCAGAGTTATTCTGCTAGTTTTTGTGACAATCATTATTTTTACAATTACACAAAAAAGGTTTTTTAAAATGTGGAAAACAATAGGAAGTGTATGTTTCTCTCGTCTGTCAATAGTTTGGGAAACAAAAATTAACAGAAGACCTTGATGATTTGCTCTCAGTCATTACAGCACATCAGACAAGATATTTACCAATTATTGTAGCATCTCCTGGTATTAGTGGACTGTTGGAGGTTTTTATCCATTATTTTCAAGGAATTCCACCTGGGAATTCATTCATCCTGTGCTATTTCATAATCAAATTGCTATACAAATGGAAGCACTTGGAAGTTTGTTGAGCAGAAGTAAATTGATTTCCCTTTTTACACAAATCTCATCTAAAAGCCAAGGTAAATCATTCTAAACTACCATCCACGTGGTTCTAATTACAAAATAAGAATAATTAAAAAGTCAAAATGCTCAAGAGCCCTCTTTCCCATGTTCTTCCAACCATGCCCTGTCCAAAGCTTTCTGAACTTTACATCTAAATTACTTAGCGGTGTTACTGACCTCTGATATGTCAGAGAAACATGTTGCTGGTCACCTGCTAAACTCTATCTCAATTTAAAGGCTGCTGAAATGAGGAGTGAGGTTAGGGCCAAATGCATATTTTGAAACGAAAAGCTCTAAATCCCCTTTCTTTTCTTGAATAGAAAAGCTCTAAAAGAGCAAAGACAATATTTCATTTTAATTTCCCTTGATGTTAAAGAATATTCTCAAGAGATGCTGATCTAAAAATAGAGTGACTATCAGTTATCTATAACATAAACTGACTTATATTTTTTCATCATGAACTCCAGATTCAGGACATAATCTCCATGGCCCCTCATTTCTCTGGATCAGATTTCCTATCAAGTGAGGGAAATAACTTTCTTCATAAGAAGCGCTGCCTACTTTAATTTTTTTCCAAAAGTAATGCTGGATGTAAAGGTCTCTGGTTACCCATGTCTTCAGGAAAAAGGAAAATGAAAGAAGAACATTATCTCGTGTTTACATTTCATGATGACTTGATATTCAATTTACTCACATTTACAGGCAAAACAACCTTTTGACAATTCATCCATCTAAATTAATGAATTGTTCTTACCCTAGATGTATATAATATTGCTCTTTAAACATCTGCCTGACCAAACATAAAGTGATTCCAAAGATTGTGCTTTTATTTGGGCTTTAAAATGAGCTGCAAATGGATGTGGAGTTTTCTCTGGGTCTTGTGGGATGTTTCACTCTTCTTCCAAGCCATGTAACTCAATCTTGCTCTTCCCTGGCGTTTGCAGGTGGCAAGAGCTGTGCTGGAGGTTGAGGCCTTGCTCGAAGACACTTGCAGGTGCCACTTGTCTGAAAAGTTCCGACCTATAGTTGGTAGAAATCACATCAGGCTGAAGGCCAGGGGATTTCTCCTGGGCTTTCCACTTTACCTTTGTGATTTTGTCTAAGTCATTTAGCTTACTAGGGCCTCAATGTCCTCATTTGTAAAATAAGGAGATATGCCAATTCCTTTAAGCACTACCTTTCTAGATTGTGTAACATATTATCTGCAAAGTGCTTCTATTAGTCAAGAGAGAGATACAGGCCGGGTGCGATGGCTCAAGCCTGTAATCCCAGCACTTTGGGAGGCCGAGACGGGCGGATCACGAGGTCAGGAGATCAAGACCATCCTGGCTAACATGGTGAAACCCCGTCTCTACTAAAAATTACAAAAAACTAGCCGGGCGAGGTGACGAGCGCCTGTATACCCAGCTACTCGGGAGGCTGAGGCAGGAGAACGGCGTAAACCCGGGAGTCGGAGCTTGCAGTGAGCTGAGATCCGGCCACTGCACTCCAGCCTGGGCGACAGAGCGAGACTCCGTTTCAAAAAAAAAAAAAGAGAGAGAGAGAGAGATACAAACTCCCACATAACAGGGCCTCTGTGGTTTATAATGATACTAGCTAATATTTATTGAGGCCCTACCATGTGTCATGCAAAATGCTAAGCACTTTACATTTACCGCACTACTGGAAAATAGAAAGATAAATTTTTTAAAAATTCTACACATTTTGGTATAGAATGTCCAAGAAGCCTTCATTGCTTTTATGTATGCCACTTGACTCAGCTAATATACAAATCATAGTTAAGTTATGGTCATATATATTTGTGCATTCATTTAACAAAATGCCAAGTCTCAAGTCAAAATAAATCTTCTCTTAGAAGTATTTATAGTAGTATGGCATAAACAACTGTAATACCCATATATGCTAATTTCACTTATCTAAAAGAATATGGGATATATATATACAGGGCATAGGACCGCCCAAAGTGACAATCTGACTTTCTCTCTGGTGATGGAGTCTTTGAATAACTGAGGCTGGAATATCCTGGGGAAAAAAGGGAACATTGAAAATAAAATATTGCTCAATGTTTAAATTTCAATTTCAACAAATGCTGATTTCCATCCCAAAACAAAATACCAACTTGCAAAAGTCTTGCCAATATTCCATGAAAATTTTGTGAACTAGATTTGCTAGTTCCAAACAAGGCTTTTTGGCATCGCACCTCTACTCACTTAAAAAAGGTAGTTGATACAGCAAGAGCTGGATGAGACCAGATAACTTTGTATATTTAAGGTATGTTTATGGTAGTCAACATGCTGCTAATGAAAACTTTTTAATCATTGAAAAGTAAACTGAATAACAAGTTACAATGAATTATAAACACATGATTATAATTATGAACCAAAATTCTTTCATCATAAATTTTAAAATGTGCTGTAGATGCAGTACATTAAAAAAAAAAAAACTTTAACGTTCAAACCAAATTGTAATTAGCTTTTATACTAAAAAACAAAACAAAACAAAAAGTGAACATTATGAAGCTCAGTTTCCTAGTCTTGAAAGAATATTAAATTTTATACTTAGGCCATTTTAAATCATCAGTGTTAATTTAGTTTCAATATTTTACTAAACACAAAACAATGCACATGTACAGGCGTGTGCCTGTGTCCCTGGCTCCTGCCCTAAACATTAAGCTTTACTACCTAGTTTCTGAGTTGCATAAATAAAATGCAGAACAATGAGAAGGGGGAGTAAAGTTACTTTTATTCTTTGCATACATCTTAAACATTTGAAAATATAAAGAATAAATTTTAAACTTGTCAGTTCAGAATTGGCCAGAGAGGCTCAGGAGCAATGATAGGGTAATGGAAGGAAAGACACGAAGACATGAAGGTAGAATCGTGTCCTTTCATAGTGACCCAACACAGCTGTGTCTCCACCTTCTTCAAGCCCTGGCAGACGTGTTACCTTGTGTAGATATAGTACCAAGTGAAAGTGGTTAGGATGTTTTCTTGCTCCTTTTCCTCCAGGCCTCATCTACATAATTCACTGACCATTCATATGACAAAATTACGTAAACTACTCCCAGGAAAATACCCATTTGTTAATATGCAAGTGTGTCCCACTAGACAGAGGGATGCAGCTCACCTACTAAAAAATGGGCAGACACAAAGGGAGCTTTCCAAAGAATTCCTGTTTCAGACCAACGAGGGGTGTGGTTTCAGGAACCTAGGGAAGGGCTCTTGCTCTAAGGACGGCTATGGTTAATGTTGGCATGCCAACCACTTTAACACCTTTGGACAAACACTTGCCATTTTTCTATAGCATTTTAAAAAATATAGAGCAAAAGTCTACCCAGACTCCTGGGAGAAGCTATTCATTCTTTTTTAAAATTTTATTTTAACAAATATTAATTGACTGCCTACCATGCTTCTATAGGCTATCCTGGTATCCAACAAATGGACAAAATCTCAGCCTCCATAAATCTTACGTAACAGTGGAGGAGACAAGTAGGTCATGACCAATGCATTTATGTGAATAGATTTTCCAATTTCTTCTATAGTAGTATCACCCCGAGTACCAAGACAGAATTGGGCATTTTAAACCTGAGAAACTGACTATGTCCATGTCCTAATTCCTCAGCTTTTCTGTGGCTTTTTCATGTCCCCATTAATGGCACAATTCTGAATTTGTGTTTTTGCCACTAAGATACGTTAGAAACATATGTAAGCTTTTGTGGCAGAGTAACGGAGTGACGTATTCATCAGTGTTTTCCCCCAGTCCTTGGTATTTCCTTTTTTCACTAGTGGAGAAAAACTTAAATTCATACTGTTCTTTACAACTATTTCTGTTAAGTCTCAGAGTTTTTCCAACATGATTACAAGGAGAAAGCTAAATGATGGGCTGGATGCTTTTTAACTAAATGAAGTCAAGACCTTTATGTAAGAGTAAAATAACAGAATGAAGTTAGAGAGGACATACAGCTGGTGTGTACATTACACGTTTAGGTGAGTGACTTGATTTCTAGCAATAAACATTCTATCAAATTCAATTTCCTTTCAAAAACTTATAGTGAGTAAATGCAATTTCCCATTCCAAGCAAGCATGTCTCTAAGATTAAACTTATAGTCCACAGAAGATAACAATAAAAGTTTAAAGTCAGTACTTCTCCAAGGAAATTACTGCAAACCAGTTAGGGAATAATTTTATGAAAAGAAACAGAAGAAATACAAACATGAAGAAAAGAGACCTTCATCTGAATCTTGCTGTTTATATTCTTAGCGTGTTTAAAATAATCTTCTTGTATTTCCCTATTATATATTAAGGATTTCTGGCTGACTCAGTGCTTCAGATTCACCAATTCCTATGCCAATAATCTCCCATTCTTTAAAATTAGTCATGAAACTGAGTGCTGAAGCTTGTGATCCTCTAGCTTTGGTCACAATTTCAGCCAAGGCTAAATCAAATGCATTTCAAATAAGGTTTAACCTTCTAGTCCCATTACTCCTTAGTGTTACCCACACGCTTTCAGCTGAGTGCCTTACTGCCTTCGGGAACAAGTGATGGTACCTAAAAGAGAAAACCAAAGCATGTTTTCTGATTTTTCAAAAGTCTAATCTTTGAAGGAAAACTGAAAAGATACTTGTGCATAAACAATGTGACAAATCTGTGAAGATGCTTGGTTGTGTAAGTGCAAGGCTTGCTGCCCCAGAGATTAGGAAATATTCCCCATAGCAAAGGAAGGAGCAGCAAGGAGTGAGTAAATACTGGGGGCCTTAACAGAGGGCCCCCAGTTTGCAATTGCAAACACACCTAGAGGCTTGGAGACCTGGTAAAAGAGGAAACCCATCTCTGTTTCCTGGCAAGAGCCTGGGGAGTAGCAAGATCTCAGGGTACTGCCTGTTGTATCAACATAAATTCGCCAGAGGCAACCACATAGTTTAGCCCTGCACAGCACAGAGTGGGAGGAGCAGGCTCGTCCTCTTGTGTCTTGGAAATGCATGGAAATGAGTGAAGACCGAAAGACTTGCACTGGGGTGTGAGGTATGACATAGCAATAAGGACCAAATGGGAATGAGGACATTTCAGTGGATGCCAGCAGAAAATATGATAATCCAGATGAGATGGACACCCTCCTGTGCACCCCCCACCTCCCAGACTTACTATGATTTAAATTCCCAGTAACTTACTGCAATCCCTAGGAAATAGGTAGGAAATACTCATTATTGACTAAAACTAAGGTTTTATCACCTACTTCTATGGGAGCTTGAAATAGAAATTGACTTATAGAAAAATAAATGTCCATTTCTTCCACACATAAGTGTAAGGACAATATTCCCACCTACTACATTTTTATAAGGAGTTTAGAATTTTGTCTTAATTGGGATTAGTTGGGGTGGTTCTGGGCAGGGACTCATATTGGCAAACAGATTTTATATCTTTTATTCAGGTTGTTTGTTTGTTGTTTAGAGGTTGAAGGAATCAAGAGTAAGAGAAGACTTTAATTTACAGCTGAAAGCAGAAGTGGCCATTTGGAAGTCACTAGTTTGAGTTGGCAAAGACTTTTTCCAAGATAAGCCAAAAAAGTGTTTAAAATTAGAATCATAAGGATTAAAATATAAAATTATGTGGTATCAAATATAATATTGCTCTCAGAAGTGTTATAAAAGTCTACAAAGTTGCATGTCATCAGTGATTTCTCAGCCCTAAGTATATGTCAAAGTCATCAGTAGAATTTTTTTGTAAGTAGATATAGCCAGGTCTTATCCCAGACCTGCTGAATCATAATTTCTCCTGGTAGGGCGTTTGCTGGGCAGTTATTTAAAAAATGTCACAAGGCTGTACAATAGTTAGTGACAATGGATGTCTGAGAAACCTCTTCTAATGCAACTGACTGCAAGTTTTATCAAACACTGTGGAAATGGCCATTACTGTTTTCATTCAAAAATATTTATTAAGTATCAATAATTTCACGGGCCCTCTAGGAGAGCCTTCTGCTTTCAACTCTAATTTAAAGAGGATCTTCTCCTCTTCTTGATCGCCTTGAGCTCTAAACAACAAAAAACAAAAGACATAAAATCTGTTTGCCAAAACACGTCCCTGCCAGAACCATCCCCAAATAACCTCAATTAAACTGAAATTCTAAATTCCTTATAAAAATGTAGCAGGTGGGAATATTGTCCATAAACTTAGATGTACAAGAAATGGAACTTTATTTTCTACCTTGCATGCAAGATAAAATACTGTTTGAACTTTAACACCTAAATGTGAGAAACGTCACATCAACCCACAGGTGAACTGAAGCCTAGTTCTTCACTCACGGGTTTGGCTGGGACTTTTGAAAGAAGCCCAGAGCCAAGCACACTTCCTGAATTCTGCCACTCACATTGTCCCCTCCCTGCTCAACTAAGAAGCAAATAATGTTAAGTAGTCTGTTAAGCCTCTCTTTCGGGGGCAGGGCAGGATGGAAGTTTAGTAAGGCAGTCATGCTTTCCTACGGTTCTGCCACAGCAAGTCCTAGCCTTCTCCCACTCATCACCTTGCAGTATCATCAGCCATGCCAGGGAGCCAGACAAAGTCACATTGCTGACAGCCATAAAGGACTTCAGCATGTAGCAGACAGCCTTCCCTGACAGCTCTATATGAGACAATGTCTCCAAAATGCTGCTTTGACTGTATCTCTCCATAGCCTTCAGTGACTCCCCACTGCCCACAGGTGGCTTTCAAGGCCCTGCGGATCTGTCCTACCTCTTCTAGCCTATTCTTCCATTCCTTTCCTACATTGACTCTCTCCTCCAGCCAAATGGTCTGTTTTTTATATTTTGAATACTGGCCCACTTCTCAGTCTTTGTTCTGACTCTTCCATCTGCCTCTAATCTCCTTCCTCTCATCTTGGGCTACTGATAAATTACCCATCTTTTAAATCCCACATCAAATACTCCCCACTCCTTGAAGGCTTCTGCAGTCTTTTTTTAGAGATGCTGTAACAAAGTACCATAGACTGGGTGGCTTAAACAATAGAAATTAATTTTTCATAGTTCTGG